GAGAGAGAGAGAGAGAGAGTTGACCCCACAAATTCCAATTCACTTCCTACTGTCCACATTTGGCTTTGTGTTGTCCAAACCATGCTTGCCGTTATGTTATCATTGCTTCTGTACAGTGCACTTGTGTCACGGGGATGATAGCACATAATTAACTTGTAAGTTGTAACAGGATGTGTTTTCTGAACTAGGGAAGCTTCTGATTTTCATTTTTTTATATTCTGCAGAAATTCAACTTGCATAGCCATGGACGACACACAACTCATGTACCTGGAGGCTCACGACTTCTATACACTCATGAACGTTATTCTGCCACAGGTATGTGGTTCTTCACCTTCACGAAGCAGGAATGCATATAGAACATCGACTGAAAGCAGGGCCTTATGGTCCTGGCTCCTTACTATTGTTGGAAGCATTAACCGGTTCCTTTTCTGCCGGCAAGTCCCCATATACAACTTTCAGTGCACTCGGACACCTCCTTCCGTTATGGCCAAAGGAAACCCCTGTTTTTAAGTCACTCAGTGTTTCCTGTTTGTTCACTTTTCGTAACTATTTCTAAAGAGGGGCAGCCCCCAATATTACTTCATCCATCAGAAAATATGAAGCTATAGGGATGTCATACCTGCACCATGCATTAGAGAATAATGAAGGGGCATCCGCTTCCAACTTCCAAGGTTATGGAGAAAGAAAGAGGGGATGGAGAACAAGTGGCCAATTGCCAAGGTGGGAGAATGTAGGAAAGAAAACTGTGATGACAGAACAAGGGAGCAGAATCGGGTTTTAGGAAAAGAAGGTAGAAAGGGGGAGAGAAAGAGGGATTAAAAAAATGAGGTTGTGGGAGCAGGCAGTGAAAGGAGGTGTAAGAAAGAGAAAAAGAGAAAGGCAAGTGAATAGGAGGTAGGGCGAATAAAGGGGGGGGAAATGAGGATCAGGAGTGAGAAAGTGGTAGGAGGTTGCATAGTCAACAGGGGAGCTTTTTAGACTCCGCCCAGCTAGAGGAGGAAGTCATATGCTAGAATGCTCCTCTTACAGAGGTGATCCAAAAAGATCTCATCCTTCGTATGATTCTCGGAGTCACAGTAATCTCACAGTCTGAGCACAGCAGAGACTGAGAGAAATCGAAGAAGGAACAGGCAAGCTGACAGTGAATCCTCCCAATGTGGGAACGATCAATGCTTGTCAGGCATCATTCCGCCTTAACAGAAGGAAGCGTGCCAGGGTCCTGCTTTATCTTAAATGACCTGCCTCGGAATAGGAGCTGGACTAACACTCTCCCGACTATGGTGCCAGGACCATAAGGACCTGTTTGGAAACAGACAAGGAAAGTCAAGAACGCCAGGGAAGCAGTTCCAAATCAGACTACACTCCAAACTTGCGTCTAGCATGCATACACGCGAACTGATGGCAAAACCAAACTCTTTCAGCTCAGAATCAACAACGAACTTGAACTGAAACTCTGTTCAAGTCAACTGTACAACTTGCGGTAATGGCCGCTGAACACTGTCTCCACCACCAGCCTCACTGCCCCTCGTGTACACACGAACGAGGATCCACCCTGAATGTCCACTCACTGCACACACACACACACACTGTACACTCTGTTGACGTCAGCAGCTTGGCGGTTATGGCCGCCGTCGTCTTCCTCACTGCCCACTTCAGCTCCGAGCACCTGCAGACCTCCACGCACAAGTCACCAAGGCAGCGCTTCCATATGGCTCACAGGCGAATGAATGAATGGCTGGACACTGCCTCTTTATTTATACTGCTCCGGAGTTGGCCTGGCCTGGCTCCAAACCGCGTGGGCCTGGGCCCCAAACCGTGTGGGCCTGGGCCCCAGACCGTGTGAGGGTCTGGGCTGCCCAAACCGCGTGAGGCCTGGAAGCCTCCAGACACGGGGGCTGCTGGGCCAAAACGCGTGGGACTTCCACTTGCCCTGGGTACTTGCTGACTCAGACAGACTCTTCCGGAACCTAGAACCTACGGACTGTTACCTACGGACTGTTACCTACGGACTGTTACCTACGGACTGTTACCTACGGACTGTTACCTACGGACTGACTCTTAGGCCTACGAAGAGACAGGAAGAGACCTCCAGAAGGGCCCTAAGTAAGTATAATGGTAACATACTAACCTATGAACAAGAAGGTCTGTGGATCAAGTCTTGGCAGCTAACGACCAGACCTGTCTCTTATACACATCTAGATGTGTATAAGAGACAGGTACCATATCTAGCTGCCCATCTCTCTCTCTCTCTCTCTCTCTCTCTCTCTCTCTCTCTCTCTCTCTGTGCTAAGGGTGGGCTAAATGGGCAGATGTGACGGTAGAGGCCATAGACGACCCCCAAAAATTGAACAGCAGACAGCGGGGACGCTGACTGTGGTAAGCAGCAGCAATGCCCAGGCACAGATGTGCAAAATCAACGTCCAGATGTCACTCGTCAGTTTTGTGAGTCTGAACCCTTGTTTTTATTTTTTTCTCCCTCGGCCAGATCCTCAAGTTCTCGATTTATGGCCAGGTGTAGGCGGTCCCTGATGAGTTTGACTAGTTTGAGTGCAGATGGATTCCAGAAGGCCTGACCTGACCTGGAAGGTCTGGATTGTGAAACATAATCTCAAATATCATGAAACTGGGTATTTGATTTAACATTCAGAAAAGTAGTGGGTACTCTGGGTAGATAATTCAGGGCAGTTGTTACAAGGATAGAAACGAAAGAAGGTGCATGGCATGAAAGGAACTTGCATGCAAGTTAATTTTTATGTAGAAACGTTACCTGGCCCATCTAGGTGATTGACAAACAGGTCATGAGTTCAGTCTATGGTGAATTCACATGAATGCAATAATGTTAAGGGCTACCCCCTTGCTGAAAAAAAGGAGGTGATGTTGTGGCCTTCATTCCACTATTGTCACCAAACTCTTGCTGGTCTGATTAATGATGAGATCATTAATTCACGTAATGAGCTCTGAGGAGAGTGTGGGACAGAAGAACCCTGAGTGCAGTTCAGTGAGACGTGGTTGCTGTGAGAGTGACGGCCCGTTTTGCTCGGATTCATTTTTAGTATTTTGTCACTGACTGCACACACTGAAGGTATTAACTTGTGTTCGAAATGCGAATTCGTTTGTTAATGAGTGGTGACGCCGAATTTACTGGCTTGTGGTTTCCTTGAGTTTGGTCCTCCATTTCTCTGAAGTCTTCCAGGAATGATTGCTGACACTGAATTTACTGGCTCGTGGTTTCCTTGAGTTTGGTCTTCCTTTTCTCTGAAGTCTTCCAGGAAGGCAATAAGGCCCATCGGTTCTACATCATAATGGTTGGGACGATAGTCCTTCGCAAGAACTTAAAAAGGCCAAGTGATCAGAAGAGTGGGAAGATACTCTCTCTAAGGACAGCAGTACTGGCAATGTCTTGGTCAGCAGCTCGTAGAGCTGAGGCCATTGGCCGTCCTCAATCAGGTGTATCCTCTGGCGGGACGCACGTTGACACATCAGCCTACCCTTCATGCCCAGAGACTCCAACGTCAAGGCTACGCAACTACTCAGTAGATGGAAGAGGGGGGGACAGCGGTAAGCTCACCACTGCCAGCCAAAGTCACCTTTCCTTGAAAAGCACGCAAAGCTCAAGGCAAACCGACTATAGTGAAGATGAAGTCTCTACACCACCGTCCAGTGTCATGATGGTTGATTCCGGGGCAACCACGCAACGGAGTGAGCTGGCACTGAAGTCTGTCAGTGAAATTTTGGCAACCCCTGCGGTAAGCCTCAAGTCCAGATTATTCACCCATTCTGGTAGGGTTACATGGGATAAAACCCTGGTGAAAAGAGAAGGCGATGAGACATCCGGACCAATCCGTCCAAGCTCCAGGATAGGTTGGTTTGCAAAGTTTGCAGGGGATGGCATGGGGGAGGGCATGGATGGTCTGCTTGACTTTAGTGGTCTTGCCAAACAAAGTCGCCGATGGAAATTTGATGGACTGCCAAGGATATTGGTTGGAAATATTCCAGAACCCGATCCAACGATTGAGAGAAGAGCATCCCAATCTGAACCTGCTACTCCACAATCAGATCGCCATCCCAGAGAGGAGAAAGACACAGATTCGGAGATGAGTCCTTCTCCAAAGGGTTCCACTATTGCCAAGGACGGGCCATCGGCTCAGCTTGCCATAGGGGCCACTCCATCGGGTGGAAACACAATCCCAAGCAGTGATTATAATGAGCCTCTTAAAGATAATGCAAATGACAAAAACGTGCCAATGGCTGCAGTGACAGCTCCCAAGGAGTCTGTAGAAGGAAATAAAGCTCCTGCTCGCCCAGGTATCCCCAGGATTGCTGCGCTTGCCAGTATCTTGCATCAAGGCACCCAGTCGGATAGAGATTTAAGATTACCACTCGCCAGTGGCGCAATACTCAGCAATGAACAGAATGTGAATGATGTTAACCCACCGGAGCCAACGTCTGGCAAGACATCTCGCCTGGCTCCAAAAGCCCAGGATAGTGCAGCTAAAACACCGAGAGGAGATGGAATTTTAAGAGGGGTGATCTCTGGGACCGACAATGGTGTGCAGGGCGTGTCACAAGGAGATGCTGATACAAAACGGGTGCAGATTCAGGAGGATGGGAACATAGAGACAGATCAGAACGACATGGTTATGCAAGAACCCATACCCGAGCCAGTTCATCTAGATGAGGCCGAGCAATTGTACGGGCCTGTCATTGCAAAGTTTCAGGCTGGTGACGTTTTTGGAGAAAGAGAACTAATAAGAAAGAGAGCTAGGTGAGAGCCGATTATATGCTTTTGCTCCACTTTTCAGACAACTCATCTTCGTTTTTTCTTTTCCACTCTCCATTTCTGTCCTGGGTCAAATGGCTCAGGGACAATATGGTTGGAGTTGAGTTCGGTACACTGGGTCATCATATCAAGTACTACGCTGCTAACCATGCTGGGAAGGTGTGAAGTTTGCAGCAGTGGGCTATCCCAGCTCACGTTTTTTTTCTTGAAAAAAAAATACAAAAAAAAAAAACTACGCTATATTCTTCTCTCAGTATACCTGGGGTGAATCCACAACTTTCGGGAACTAGCCACATAGGGTTGAGCCTAACCCTTAGCGAGGGATGCAAGGGATGGAAGAGCCAGGGGGTGCAAGCCAACCATCTCAGCTTGTGAACTCGAAGTGCGCCACAGGAGCCGTGGGGAATCGAACGGAGGACATGGGGAACCGACCCACGACCTCCTGAACGCCACTTGCGTGCTCTACCAACTGAGCTAGGCTGCTGGCCCTCCAGCTCACGTTTTCTATTGGTTCAATGTTCTGCCCTTTCTGTGGTACGTCACTGGCTCGACTCCCAAAATGAGTGATTCAGACTTTGAAGCTTGAGAAGGAAACTTCCTTTCCTCCCCTCTTCTTTCTCCTTTACTTTCCTTCCATTTATTTTTCTCTTCTTCTTCCTTCTCTGCTGATTCTCCAGTACAGTAATGGTGGCCCCCATGCCAACATTATCTCCCCATCTCACTCCACCGACATCCCTGTAATGAACCCAATCTCGTCAGACAATCATGTCGCAGATAACAATGTCGTACAATGTTGTGAGATAATCAACCCAATAAGCCCATCAGTTCGAAGTCATTGAAGTACTTGTTTCTTCATTATCACGTGTCTGTCTCACGGTCCACAATATCCAGAAAAGGAGAGGAGGGGAGAATAGACAGTTGGAAAAAGAAGTGTAATGCCCTCTTCTCCTTCAGGCTCCCCACCTCTGCCACGTCAGCAATATCCACTCAAGGTGCCACGTTAGCACTCCGTACTCAATATGCCACGTCAGCATCAGCTATATGCACACAATGTGCCACGTTAGCACTCTCGTACTCAATATGCCACGTCAGCATCAGTGATATGAACACAATGTGCCACATCAACAATATGCACTCAATGTGCCACGTCAGCACTCCATGTAACACACGGACGATGTGGAAGCATCCCCTCGCACATAAACGATCCTCCAACATCGAGCAGAATCGGCAGCAGCTTCACATCTGAAGAAACTAGGTATGTACGCACGACGAATCACATCACCCACACTCTCTCTCTCCCTCTCCTCATTCCCTCGCCGTCTACTACGGTCGCGGCCTTGGCCACCCTCCCTAACTCACTACTAAGATATCTGGCTGGCGCCCATCCCGCAGTCTGGCGCCAGCATCTCCTCTCAAGTCTCACGCGCAACGTCGTAGCCACAAGCAACTCGTAAGACTGAATGCCCAAGCAGTGGCTAGGTCAACTTAATATAGTGTTGACTCGCGTGTCCTCAGTCAGCGTCGGTTCATGTGAGGGCCCGGATCTTCCAATGTGTCCCAGTTTCGGTCTGGACTCCTTGAGGCCTGAATCTTCTGGAGCCTGCAGACCACTGTTAGATCATTCCAGATCGAAGCCAGGAAAATCTTCTGTGCTGACTTTAACTTCTCGGATTTGGGCCTGGGTCCACGAGCTGACTGTTGACTTTTCGGTCAACTGTCGGCCTGGGCCTTTTCTGAGGCCTGTTTAACCTCTCTATTTTCAAGCCTGCCCGTTCGTGCTTATCTACGGGCATGGCGAGGACCCAACAGCTCAATTGGGCACACGAGTTGTAGCATTCCATCTGACCGATTTCAAGTTCCATCACATAATTTTCTTTTCAGGCTTGGATTCTTAAACTTCGCTCGTATGCAGAGACAATATCAGGAGCAGTAGGTACGAGTTCTCTTTTACTAAACCAGCAAGCTTCAGACAACGGTTGATTAGAAAACTTTACCTTATATTACTTTTGAGGTCTCCCTCTAGCTCCACTGCAGAAAAACCCATCTTCAACGATTTTCTCCACTTGGTATCAGCCATCCATTGAAGAAGGAATGGAGGATGGTCTATTGGGAAATTCTTGTCCTTCAACATAGGGTAGCATCTTAGATGCGTGGAAGAGTGGGTAGATCTTCAGATGAGGGGGAATGTCAATTATCTAGGATGGTCCACCCGCGTTCCCTATTAGTTTAAGTACTTCCCGGGGTCCATAGTAGACGGGTAGCAGTTCTGCGAGACATTTTCCTCGAGTGAGAATTTGTTAGGTTTTACCCAAATGTTATCTCCTTCTTGGAATTGCGCACGCCTTCGATGTTGGTTTGCCTGTCCAATCATTTTCTGTTGGGCTTTTTGTATATTCTCTTTTGCTTTTGGGATGTCTTGCTCATAGAGAATTGCAAACTCTCGGGTTCCTGGGGCCAGCTTCTAGGTTTGATCTCTTGTTAGGGAGTCAATCGGTCTTAGAGGTTGCCAACCTTTGTGCATTGCATTCTGTGTGCGTCCTGTAGAAGTGTGTACACTATTATTATATGCACTCGCAATCTTGGGAAGATTTTCATCCCAGTCAATGTGATCAGGTCGCACATATATACGTAGGAGCTGCTGGCACAACTTGTTCATTTGTTCAGTTTTGTCGTTAGTCTCAGGATGTCGTCCTGAAGACATAGTCAGTCTGGTGCCGTAACCTTCCATCATTTTTTGCCATTGCTCGCTCGTAAAACATCTTTGTCAGATACAATAGTCTTGGGAAATCCATATTCAGAAACCCATTGCATCTGAAATTTTTGAATTACAAGCTCAGTTCTTGCTTCAACGGGCAAAGGAACAAACATAGCGTACTTAGAGAATCGATCCACGATTACCATTACCTGACTGTTTCCATTTCGACTCTTTGTTAGGCTCATGAAGTTGATGGGAATAAACTCACCTAGTCTTTCAGGAATCGGTAGTGGTCTCAGTTGTCCCAAGGGACTCTTATGGAATGGCTTGTTGCATTGGTACACAAGGCAAGTTCTGACGTACGTTAGTGTGTCATTTTTCATTCCTTTCCAAACAAAATGTTCTCGGACATTGGCAAAAGTCTTTTTAAACCCAAAGTGTCCTTCAGTATCATGGCACTCGCCAAGAATTAGACTCTTCATAGGTTCATTATGTACAACACAAATTCTTTGTTCATCACCATCAATGAAGAAAAGTATTCCACCACCTATTTGATAATCAGGGGAACGTTCCAGATTATATTTTAGACCATCTATAATAGGTTGCCATATCTGGTCAGTGGCGTAATATGATCCTTTAACTCGTTTCCAACGTTTAAGTAGGTAGCAATGGTTCCAAAGAAGCCACTTCTTGAGAGAGCGTCAACCACCACATTCAATTGGTCGATAACCCTACCCATCATTTTGTTGCAATACAACCCCAATCCCACACTGACTTGCGTCAGTGGTCACGACAAAAGGTAAGGATAGGTTTGCAATTTTTCGAACAGGGTAGTGAGTAAGCGCATTCTTCAACTTTCTAAACGCGGACTCACAATCTTTATCCCAAAGCTAGATTGTCTCTTTCTTCAAGAGCTTCCTCATTGGGGCAACTATAGCGGAGAAGTTTCTAACGAACTTTCGGTAATAGCTAGCCAATCCAAGGAAGGAACGGAGTTCAGTTAGATCTTATAGCAGCAATTTTCTTTTCTTTGGGCCTCAACCCATCTTCATTCACAACATGTCCTAGGTACAAAACTTCAGACTTTGCGAATTCATACTTCTTAGAGTTCAATTTGAAGCATAGCTACGGTCCGGACCTTCCAGCAGGGATCCAGACTGTCAGGGGTTTGGGGTCCGATACCTAGGTCCGGTTCCTGGTTAGGGTGGCCCCCCCCCAGGCCAACGGGCAAATATTTTTTTGGCGGCCCAGAGCTTTTCCTCACACCCAGGGCCGCCAAAGAAAAATTACCCCTGATGTTTTTGGCCGCAGGTTTGCCATCCAGACGGCCCGAAATATTTGTTTTTCACTTTCTTGTTTTTGGTTTTTGTTTTTTTTTGTTTTTTTTGGTTGTTTGGGGTTTGGCGGCCCACCATTTCATGAACCCAACTTCAAATTTGAATCGGATCCACATGGTTGCCCGCCCCCTCCTTCAACTCAACGTGTTTCTAGTTTAGACAGGGAGGGAAATGCAGCACCACCATAGCCAGTTGGAGACGCAACGCTGCGACATGGTGTGAGGTTGGTCTCTCTCTCTCTCTCTCTCTCTCTCTCTCTCTCTCTCTCTCTCTCTCTCTCTCTCTCTCTCTCTCTCTCCCCCCTCCTCCACGTTCTCGTCGCTTGTAATTTGCGCCCTCTATGTGGCCCGGTTTTCTCCCCTTTCTTTCGTTGATCTTCAACGATGCCGAGAAACTGCCACC